ATATCACGAATACAGTGTATAACGTGTCCTATGTAAATGAAAGTATATAATAAAGGCTTCGAGCCCTCTGAAGAAAGAGGCAGAGTTCGTGCTTGTAATGAAGTTTGACCCTCATAATTCCCTGACCTTCTCTACCTTGTAAAACCTACGATCATAAACATACCACTCGCCAAATATAACCGCCTCTCTTCGACTAAGCCGTTCGTAGGTTACACGACGTATCTGTTTGAGAAGCGACCGAAACGCCGACGCCGGTTCGATGGTGTCACCGTGCTTATAATGCCGATGATTATAATGTTTTATTGCATATATTTATATTACGATAAGCACAATATTGGGTATCACCTGGGAATAGATTATATTTTTCTTATAAATATAATGTAGTTAATAAAGCGGATTTCATTATAATAAAAACATCGAATTAAGGGTTCTTATACGGGTGACTGTATAGAATCATTGTTAAAGTAAAAACTCACCTGTAAATCTTTGATAACCCGACCCGAATTGAGCCCACTCGCCAAATCTACACGCCTTTTTCGACCGACCGTTACACGAAGTCGAACTTCGATTAGCGACATGCTCGCCGACTTAAAGTCATTCAGCATCTACTGAAAATTTTGAACAATACTGAAAATAAATAAACACACCACAAAAATTTAGTATTTAAAATAAAATAAAAATAAATAAATAAATAAAACAAAACTTAGTGTAGTAAATATATTTATATATATTCTTGATAATTAAAAACCCTTATAAAATATATATGCTACGTTCCTGGTTTAAGCACGGCTGCGTCGCGCAGCTGCCCTAAATAAATATATATATATATTAATAATTAATTTTAATACAATTGTAACATTATTTAAATAAAATAATTTTTTTAGAATGACTTTGATCTTTAGTATTTTCAATATTTTAGATTAGCGTGATAAAATTTACTGAATCATTCAGCAACCAAAATAATTTTGGATAACAAGATTAGTACTACAAGAATTTATATGCACGTTAGAGTTATACAGATTAATATGCACAGCACCGTGTTTCTAATATAACAATTAAAATGAGTAGTAAGATATTATTATTTAGTCATAAATTCGAAGGATTTTATCTGAATAAAGAAATAACGATATCTACTATAGAAAGAGTTTTATTCGGTAATTACTAAGGATCATATAACATTACACGCGCTAATACAGAATCATGATAGTCAGAAATTATAACAAATATGGTCACTATCAAAGAATGAATAAACGCTACAAAATTCTAATTAGAACTTACGATCGACTCAAACGTGTAGAACTGCTTAGAATTTATTAATTTACGTTTAAAGAAATATATTTTTTAGCCCCTTTTTGGTAATTCATATGAAAGCGATGATAGGGGGTTAAAGTATGACAAAAGTAAATATTGTTCTAATTTATTGTGATCTACATGTACGACAAATTTAAACATTTCTTTGTGCGTCTGTAATTTATGAATTTACATTTAATTGCCTATATTTAAAATTTAAGCAAGGATAGATAATTTAATCTTTATTACGAACTGAAAATCATTATATTATTTTAGTAATTAAAAGTACAGTACATAAATAGATATCAGATTGAAAATCCAACTTATTTATGCAATTCTGCATTATAATGTATATTTTAACATGTAACGTTTCACTAATAAAAAATGATAATAAAGCCTCTATGCGTGCGTTGGATTTTACTACAAAATAATTTCATATCTTGCAAACTTTGTTTTGAAGACAACATTATTGTACTATCTATATGTCTTCTATATATGAAAAAGCAATCACCTAAAAATTTAAACTAGTGCTCAAAACCATATTAGCCCATGATTTATATTGTAAATTTATTATAACTTGTCAGTTTCTATTTGACGTTTTTCATGTAAATTTTTGATTTTGAGGACTTTATGCATACTGTTAACATGTTATTTTTTAATAATAGATAATATTAAGTAAGTTAAATCTCATATGGCTGCTGCCAGGCGAAAGCCAGGATTTCTAAAAATAGAATTCTTTAGACAACGGAATACGGACTTTAAATGATACTAATATGTGATCGAAAAACAATATAATTATTATTCTAGTCAGACTGTTTAAAAGCCTGCGTCCCGTTATGTAAAGATGTCGATTTTTAGAAGTCCTGGTTGTGACGGGAAAAATTCCACTTTTATCATGGTAATTTACTATTTCACCTTGGTGACTTTAACTAAATCTGGTGACTACATGGTGGAGATGTCTTATGGGTTGATTTTTGCAATTGTACTAAAATAGATGTAATTTGACTCCTTTCCTTTTTTCTTTAAATTTTGAGTAACTTAGATACACTAGCTCGTTTATGATGATTTTACTACCAGAATGTTCATCTATTCTAACAAGGCCAAAATCATCCAAGTCCAATAACTGGATCATGAGATAATATAGTATTTTTCGTGAGTGACGCACCTATTATGTGGGTAACATTGGGTTAGATGCGGTCTAACAATGAAATCCACATTATAAATGCGTTATCCTGTAAAAGCCTTAATTATTTTATGTTCCGGTGATTGGACTTGGATTATGTTGGTCTTGTTAGAATAGACGAACATTCCGGTAGTAAAATCATCAAAAACGAGCTAGTGTATCTAAAATTACTCATTTTTGATGTACTTAACTTACTTTTTTTTTTATGTAATTAAACATACCCTAAAACTAACAAATAATGTTGCATGTTTTTATAATAAGAATTTATAAAAGTATAGAAATTTTAGGATATATCTAGATGTACAAAAAAAGTAATGTTTTTCATTAGTGAAAACCATAACCTTTAATATGCAAAACAATTTATTTAGCAAATTTGATTGGAAGTATTGCGTAATATGCATAAATTATATTATTCTTTGCATCATCAAAAATGTAACAGTGCTCAATATACCTTCGGGCGGACTACTTAAATTAGACAATGACTAAAGTTGTACGAGTGGCTAGTTGTACACTCTTCCTATGGTTGCCCCCTGTGGCTGTTGTAATACAATCACAAAGCTGAAACATACTATCAATAAAAGCCTGGGTCACAAGTACTCACCTTTAATATTAAAAAAAAAAACAGTGGTCAATATGGAAAATCATCAACCCAAATTAGGAATAAGGTTGTTCCACGCTCAAAAAAGTGTACTGACTATAAACTCAATAGGGAACCTTAAATTTAAAGTTAGATAGCAATCAATTATAAGAATAAATGCCTTTCTATTATCATCACTTAGTGTTCTAAGGTTGATCAAAAGACAAACTTGTTTGTATTGGCACCTTTTTTTTTATTCGTACACGTTTTGATTTTATATCAGAGATAACAGTTTGCGAACACATGCCTTTTCAAGTGAAAATAACACATTTCAATATTAATTTTAGCAAATAGATGGAAATTTTAGCAATAGGATATAACAGGATAACAAAATGATCTTTTATTTATAAAAATCATGTGTAATGAAATAATACTGCTTCTTTGTTTAAGTTATATTTCTTTGTTTAAATAATATTTGAAGTAATAACCTGGTCATTGAACAGACAACAATATGCAATACAAAAAGTTATTCCAGAATTATCCAGATCGTTTTGCGTAATGAGCCAAGAAAATTATTTATTTGGTTGACAAGATGAGTGTTGTGCGTGTTGATTTTTGTTAAAGTCTTTTGGTATTTCATTTAGATTATCTAATTTTTCAATTTATATATATCTAACAATCAGATTCCACAAACCATTATTCATTTCAAATTTCTGCCACAAGTTCCAATTTATTTACGTGTCCTATTAGCCCAAAAAAGATTCTAGGAATGAATAGTTTCAATATTATACATATCAAATTTCCGAAATAATGCGAATTAGATTAGCCAAAGTCGCGTATATAATATTATCGTTTTACATAAATGATTCATAATAAATAATCTTCGGGAACCCCGATGATGATAATGTGCTATTAAGTCATTGGCAGGTGACGGAGTTATATGCTGATTACGAATCTTGGATAATTTATTATTCAACAAAGTTAGTTGTGAAAACTGTCATAGTTGACTAAATGATTAAGTCTATAAATACAGTAAGCCTGAAAATTGTCCTAGCTATAAAACAAGAGATTGAAAACATTTTAAAAGACCATAAATATTTTAAGATTTTGTATACTTCGAAACAAATAACTATTAAGAATCATTATACTGACTGCTAAAGAACCTTCAATTCTCGACTACCATCGCATATACGTAAAGAGTCTCACAATATAATAACATAAGCTATTACAATTACCAGAATAACAACTATATTTTCTGAGATGAATAATCCACAAAACCAAGTAATTAGAGGGCAACCTCAAAATGCTGCTATTCAGTTAAACCCTCCGGATGTTAGCTCTTTTACTGAGGCATATGATACTTTAACAAAGGGCACCAACCCATTTATAAAACAAGAGGCATCAATAAACCAGGAAACTCTTCATTTAAAAGATATTATTATTTCGGGTTGCTCCTTTAATTAGTGGTCAAACTGGAAAGAGGTAATCAGATCCATAATAATAAAAATCAAAGAACAAAAAAATTTAAACGTGGTTTTTTTTGAACCCTAACAAATGGACTTTATTTTTGCGTAACCTATATGATAAACAAAAATTAACTAGTTAATATTGGCCTTTTTAAATTAGTTTCTCACATCGCCGTTCAGTTTATGTATCTTTTTGTTTTTATATTTTATATGGAATTTTAAGTATAAGATTATAATTACGGAAGCATTATATATATAATTTTAGGAACTAAATAAATTTTAGAAACTATATAGAATTTTAGAATTTTAAACCGTCTTCAATCGTACCTGGTTTATAATGTATCTCCACTAGCTATTTTCTTTAATTTGTTACCTTAGTTATATATCCTATTTAGACAGAATAAATGCCGTTTCTTTATATGTTTTTTATATATTATGTTATATACCAACTTTAATTATATCTCCAAAAAAAAAAATTAAAAAATCCATATGGAAAAAAGTGATATAACCCAGGCACAACTTTATATAGAGTTTAGAAACTATTATAATCTAATTATACGTAGTTATACATACGCAATAAACTCATTATTTGGTCTACTAAATAAAATAAAAAAAATTAAATCATAATCTGGTCCATTTGCAATTAATATTTGAGTGCAGCCAAGTGAAAGCTAGGAAGCTTAAATATAAATTATATATGTATTATAAAATAAATATTATTTCTCTTAATATAATTTGAAACCGGTTTTATTTTTATATGTCTAAATCGATTTTAATATATGAAAATAAGTGTGATTCCAAGTTCAAACTTGAGAAATTAGGATATCAGTAATGATGTTTACGACATGCTTTTATATTTATATTTTTGATCGATTATGTATAGTATTGGGTATGTGGCATATTATTCTTCTAATTGGTCTGTCACTTACAGTTGTGTTTACACAAATTAAATTACTTTCAAGAGTGTAACATTTCGCAAAGACTTTTTATATCCTCAAAGAAGCGTCAAAATTTACTATACAAAATAATTCCAAACCAAAGATAACCCTACTTAGAAGGTGAAAATTCTACTTATGTATATTGTAACTATGGAACTATATAATATGACTATGTTACCAAAATTAGCTTACTGAAAAAATCCTGTTCCAAAGTTTGACGATCTTTCACCATGCGGTTACACAACTGTATTGGTCGCAGAACAATTAACAATATTTACTGTAATTTTAATAATTGTCTAAAATTAAATGAAAATAGAATATTCAGCCAATTTCTATATATAAGCATATTTTCTAATTCTAGAAATCTATATAATCTGAGATTGTAAATAATCAGATTATTCTTGAGATAATTCTTTTTAAATTTTAAATTTAATGACTTTTTAACGGAGATAACTTGTGTTTAAAGGAAATTCAGACTCGATTTTCTCGAATTTTAAAAATATACTCAATATCCTTCGAAAAATTCGATATATATCTACTAAAGGTTGGAACCGGTTTTAATAATTCGAGCTTATCACATGAATTTTGTGATATTTTAGAAATTTATCCAATTAAATTTTAATAAATTCTGAAATATCACAAAATTCTTGTGGTAAACCCGAATTACTCCAACTTCTAATATCTACAAGACGAAAAGATCAACAATTCGGAACAGAATTTTTAATGCAAGTGGCAGACCAATCAGAACATGCATCTAATTGGGTTAAACATTGTTTGTGATACATTCTATCACGTTTATTTTGGTCACAGTACATTTTACCCGTGACAACATAAATAGAAACCATCTTTCATTTATTATTATTTAAGCAACAAATTATCAAAAAATATTAACAAGTAAAACAAGTAAATGAAGTGGAAAAAATAGAAATTATGAAAAAAAATCACAGGACTTATTTTTCTCAGGGGTTAAGAAATTATATAAAAACGTTATATTTAGAGATCAACGTATCTATTATTAAACATGGCATATCTTTTATCGCCATTGCCTCTCTTATCACGGAAGACCAAGGCTATATTTGATTCATATGAAATTTTCCAGCGATTAATATCAATTTCTTTGGTAACAAGTTGGTTTGTAACAAATCTAGATTATTTCAGAATAGCAATTTTTTAGAAAATATAAAAATTTTAATGATTAAATATCAAATATCATAAATATAAAATAATATATAACCTGTTTCGTGCATTATTTAACCTCTGTTCTAATTGATTAATCCTGGAATCAAGTTGATTAAAGACATCTGATAAATTTAATGAGTCAATTTTCAAAATTCAATATTATAAGTTTATATAATTAAATTTCATTTCAATATTAATTAAATTTTAATTTGGGTCGCGTATGTAAAGAGCCAGTATGTAAAATTTATAATCTTTTCTATCTTAATAAATTACAAAAAGATATAACGCTCTAATAAGTTTTTATTATCAAAAAAATAAATGGGACTAACCGTAACAACCACAAAACTCATCTTCTAATTTTGATAAAAAATTATACAAGTCATAAAGTTAATAACTATCAAAAAAAAATTCTAAAGAATATAATAACTTAATATTCACCAGCTAATAAAATAATAATTCATACGTATATTAATTGAAGAAACATAAATATCATGAAGTATAACATAGAAAATAAATATTAAACCATACCAAGAGTAGACATGCTCATGGTTATAGAAAGGATTATAGTGATAAAAAGGACAAAAGATTTTGATACCATGGTTGGATAAATTTAAGAGAAAATTTGGAATAAAAGTTTGAAACTCAAATGAATGATAGTTTTTTAAAAATTTGAGAAAACCTGAGAAATTAATAATGGGCATGAACGAAAGCTAGCTTGAACGTTACTTATATTATTTCTTAATGAATGTGCGCAGTATAAAACCTTAATTCGAGTGTTTTTAACATCTTTTAAAGTCCATATTTAGGGATTGTTACTATTGATGGGAGAACTTTTACGGTGTCAGCACTATTTTGGCCCCAATAATAAACTTATAATAATAAATAAATGAATAAATAAATAATAAGCATTATCGCTTATAGAAAGAATTTGTACACGTGAAGCAACATAATTAATTAGATCAGGATCGGGCCCAGTTAATTATATCCGCAGGTAATTAATTAATTAGATCAGATCACGTTATAGTAATTAATTTATGTTGATTAAGGTAATTATGGCGTATATAATGCACTTAATAATATCGGGGGGTTAATAATTACAGAGAATAAGGTAATAATGAAAATATAATACGATCGTTAAGAATCCTGAATCTTAAGGGTTATAATAACAAGTATAACACGAAACTTGTAATAACATGAGAATCAATTCTTTTTATGTCCTTTATGATCAAGACATCAAAGTTCAAAGCTTTATTTAAAGCACGAATAGACAATGCTTTTATACTTTCAATTACAATAGGAAGAATGATTTGATTCAGGTGTAATCGGTTTGGACTACATCTGTTCCTCTTAAAGACCAGTTTAACTACCCTAGTACCATCTTAAACCATTTTCTAACCATCTGTCTAAGCTTTAATCCATGTCTAATCCCTCCGTCGTATCACTTAATATTAGACAATACGATAAATAAAACCAAAAATAACGAATCAAGTGAATATTGAAATCAATTTTAGCCCTCTAATCTTCGCCATCATATAAGCCTCACATTATTCTTGTGATTCAAGCCCCAGCCATAATTCGTTATTACCCGTACATTCATAAAGCATGGACACGTGATATTTTTGTAGCGCAAACCAATCATATTTCTCAAGATCAGGTGTAACGCAACACGATCATCTAAAAGCACGTCCCAAATCTGTGACAGGTTAAGCCACCGATGTCAATTTCCTGTCTGATCCTTACTCCAGCGTCAATACAAACAGAAATGCTAAAAGCAATTAAAGTATATTTATTTATAATACTAAATGTTTATATTGATATTTCAATTAAATTATACTAAATAAAAAAAAATGAAAGCTAAAGCAAAATAGAATTCGCAAATTATATATAAAAAAACTAACAATCCCTCAATTTAACCGATCCTTCAATTTAACTGATTATTTAATACATTTTTGCTTAAATTATGCTCTTATTCGTTTTTCTCTTCTTACGGATGGGCATAGCTTGAGGATCCAAATTCTTTTTATTTTTGTGTCACTTAATTGATTCAACCTGAACTCGTATATGTGCACTGCCTTTAACTTGAACTATCAGGTCTAGATCTTGGTTTAGATCATAAAGAAAAGAAGTTAACCAGAAGACAGATTTTGACCTCGCTGCATTATAGTGATCTTTAAATTTATCCAATGCAGCTCGTAATGTTTGACTAGCATTCAGATAATCTGATTTTATAAGTTTTAAAAATGAAGAAAATTCAGAAATATCAATTTCTGTGGTTTCATTCATTTTATCTAGATTCCTGAAACTAATATAAGAAAGATTAGTACTTGGAGATTCTTATAATTAATGAAATAAATTAATTAAAAACCTTTGCATAGTAATTAAACCCTCATTCAATGTGTTATTACTTAAATTCTCACTTGAAATTTCCATTTCAGTACATATATGTTTATTTATAGGTTATAAATATAATAATACATAGAACAATTTGTTTTCGGAAACATAATCTAAAAAAAAATAAGTGTCATATTTAAACCAAAAAATTAGATTTATTTTTGACCAGCATTTGCAATCATACACACTGAGTGCTATGTAGACATAAACCATCCAATCATCTGAGCTTAATAATGGAATAAAATTAGCCATTGAAACATGAAATTTTATTGAAACAGCCTCTTGGTGTTTACAAGAAACAACAGACATTCTAACGGAGCAGGAGCAGGCTCTGATTTCAATATTTACAACATAGACATTATTTTCCTTGGTACTTAGTACTAAATATTCATTCTTCACATTAGTTTTTTGGATCATATTTCCATTTACAGTTTCCATCTGGGACATAAAAATCGCTTTGCAATGTGTAAGACTCCCAGGTGGTTATGTGCAATTACAAGTAATCAACTTTTATAGAACCTCTTCATGCTCGAGATTATAAATTAGAATACTTGTACAGGATTGTAGGCCTGTGTTCTCATGAATATAATATCCTTCATTATACTAAAACTTCTTTCAATATAATTGTTTGTGTTATTACCACGTATGGGCAAGTTTGAATGGAATGATAAGGCCCAAAACTGCTGCCATTCCCATAAGAGCCTGAAATGATTTAGTAATTGTGAATAATTATAAAATTTTTGTTAAAATTTATTATAATATATATGC